CAGAGGGGGGAGCAGGAGCAGGGAGGCTCTGTCCCTTGCTGGGACCCTGACCCTCCTGGCCCACGGGGCAGCTCCTGCAGCAGGCGGCCACAGGCAGCTGCGCTCCTGGCGGGGCTCTAAGGAGAGGAGCACCTTCCCATGCTCTCGGGAAGGTGCTAGAAATAAAGGGCAATTTAAAAAGGGAAAACAAAGGGTAGTTACACGCCCTCAGTGATTTTCAAGGTGAGGTCGTGTCCCCCCCCCCCCCCGCCATGCTGTCCTGTCCCCCTGCCCCGCCTGCTGGCCCTGGACCCTTCGCTCCTCGCCGGCAGCCCTCAGAAACAATACACACATGCATACACACATCACACAGTTAAGGTCATGTATGAACAAGAACCGCGCAGCCTCGCAGAGCCGTGCGGATCCCATGAGCGCGCCTGGTGCCGGGACGCGCACTCCACGCCCGCTCCGACTCAGGCTTCATTTCCCTGAACCTAGAATTCAGATTCGGACTACTTCAGATTCTTTACGCAGAGGGGTGGTGTTTGGGGAGCCAGGAGACCTCCTCAGTTCCTTTGACAAAATGTTGGTCTTTAGAAACCTCTCAAGAAGAACAAAGACAAGCCAGGTAGGCATTGTCCCAATGGTTGCTCCCCCTGCCAGCATGGCAGGCACTTCGCACATGTCCTGTCCGTCCAGTCCCGCCTTTCGTAACTTCTCACTTCCCTTAGGCTCCATACTTTATGTAATTTTACCCCACGTGGGTCCTTCCTAGCCCGGGTACTATCCCCGCAGGATAATCACCCACCAGGCCAGGGCATCGCGACCACCGCACCCACACTTCACCGCGGTGGCCTCTGCGTCACTCGGGCCCTCGCAGTGCTAGAGCATGAAGCCCCCAAGCCAGACTGGACCTTCAGTCTGGCTGCAGCTTCTGCAGCGAATAACTGTGCTAAACGTGTTTCCTTACCTGGAAACAAGGATAATAATCCTTAGACCGTATAGTGTTTGTGAGAATTAAGTGAGCTGTTGCATAGTTTCTGGATATAGTGATCATTCAACATAATTTCAGCATAGAAAAAATATAAAGTTTCTACCAACCACTCTATCCCTAAGAAACAACACTTTTATATGCATATAGTACACAGTTAAGATCATATATTATGAATATGGCTTTGTATTCTGATTTAAAAAAAATAAAAATTCCATGCAAACTTTCTGATGGTTGTATATGTTCCGTACTGTGACTGTATCCCAATTAATTTAACCATTCTCAACTTGGGCCAAGAAGTTGTTTATCATTTTAGTTATTACATATACTATGTAATCACAGAGCCCTTTGTGCTTCCATACTGCCATACTGTTCATCTTATCTGCCTGCAAAGGCTATGGATAAGGGAGAAGTGGAGTGGTCGGTATCATGTTTTCTTGTGTTCATGCTAAACCATGCTCATTGCTGAACATGAAAATAGTTCCACACCCTCCAGCCAGGTCCTAGGCAGCCCAACAAGGCTCACTTCTTAAAATCCAAACAAAATTTTTGCACTTTCCTTTTAAAATCTAATTACATGGCTTTCTTTTTTAAAAAAAATGAATCAATTATTTTTTTTGGTTACAGATGTCATCCCCCCCCATTGACACCTTCCTCCTGCTCCCGTCCCCCACCCCCACTTCATACTATTGTTGTCTGTGTCCACTGGTTATGGATATATACATATAAGTTCTTTGGTTTATCTCTTCCCCTCCTCCCACCTCACTTCCCTCTGAGGCCTGTCACTGTTCCCCACTTCCATGTTTCTGGGTCTGTTTTGTTTGTCAGCTTATTTTGTTCATTATATTCCACAAATAAGTAAGATCATGTGATATTTGTCTTTCTCTGACTGGCTTATTTTGCTTATACACCACTTTCTTGATAAGACACATGGAACATATTTTACATGTTTTTGCCTTGATGTAGTTTTATTTTGGTTTAACTTTTGGGTGTTATTTTTTAACTGTAGTAAGTCTTTTTTTTTTTTTTTATCCTCACCCGAGGACATTTTTCCATTTTTTGTTCAGATAGAGTGAGAGGAAGAGAAAGAGAGAGAGAAACGTCGACATGAAAGGGACACATCGAGTGATTGCCACCCGCACAACCCAACCAGGGCTGGGGACAATCTGCAACCGAGGTACGCGCCCTTAGTGGGAACCGAACCCAGGTCTCTCCAGACTGCAGGCCAACGCTCCAACTGCTGAGCCAAACCGGCCAGGGCGTAAGTCTTCTTTTAAAATAAATTTGTATTCCTCTTTTCTCTATATAAATTTATCTTTTAAAGTCAAACAAAGCTCTAAATTATGAAATTGTCCTCAAAGTTCAAATTGATTTTATTTTTATAAGCTTATGCTTAAAAATTAATGGTATTTATGAAATACATCTGTTAAGTACCATATTTTTCAGAACTTGCATTAATTTCTATTTTTCATTCTTATTTTAGTATATTGGAGACTAAGTGATGAAAGGCTGACAAATTGAGATAATGAAGAAAAATCTGTAAAACAAGTTTTGGGGGAGCATAGAGAGCAAGGTACAAGATGGTCGAGTCTGCTCACTGTTCAGTGGGGCATTGATAGTGAAGAATTAGCAGCTCATACTTCAAAACAAGTTATAGTCTGAACAAATTACTTATCTAAATCTCAGTTTATGCTTTTTACTTCCAATTTACCTGGCTGCTATGAATATTTTAACATTCTGGTTAAATGAAAGAAGTCATAATGTCATATAAAGATAACCAATTTTCAATGAATTAGAATTTAAATACACAGTAAAAATACATTGGCTATAAATAGGACAAAGTGTAGATAACCTGATCATATCTATGTATTCATATATATTTCTTTTTTTTTTTTTTTTTTTAATCCTCACCCGAGGACATTTTTCCATTTTTTGTTCAGATAGAGCGGGAGGGAGAGAGAGGAAGAGAAAGAGAGAGAAACATCGACGTGAAGGGACACATCGAGTGGCCGCCACCCGCACGACCAACCAGGGCCGGGGATAAACTGCAACCGAGGTACGTGCCCTTAGCGGGAACCGAACCCGGGTCTCTCTGGACCGCAGGCCAACGCTCCAACTGCTGAGCCAAACCGGCCAGGGCCATATATATTTCTTAATTATAATTTATATTTCCCTGATAATTTATTATTTGGGGACTCATTTTAATATACATCATAGTGGGAAAATTTTCCCTCTCTTTTAAAGCTAATCAAGGACCTCTTAGAATAGTTAAGATGAACAATAAAGTGCTGAGTATTTTCTTACCTCTGCTGGTCTATATTTTCTATGGTGAACATACGTTTTTATAGTAAGAAAGAAAAAACAAAAGAAAATATAAACATTATGTATATAATTTCACCTCTTTTTCGGTGGTGTTGGAAATAAGGCAACAGGCCCCAGTAGAATTGCTTATGCTAAGCCCATGCCATCAAACTGTATTTAACTTAATTACAGTTTCACCTCTCCCAGAAGTGGAATCTGAAACCAGCCAATCAGGAATCATCTGACCAGCACTAGTGAGGCAATCTGCTTGCCGGGCTCCTCGTCATTCCCTAAAGGAAAGTGACCTTGCAATAATCAGCCCCCTTTTTTGCTGGTATAACTTCCTAGTCCCTGTTCCCTTCTGCCTGTCTTTCATTTTGCTCAGCTCCTTTGAAGTCCTTGCTCCCCACTAGATGGGATGCTGACCGGGTCACAAGTCACTGAATAAAGCCAGTAAGACCTATAAAATGTACACGGTTGATTCTTTTTTTTTTTTTTTTTTTTATAACAGTGGGGAGAAGACAATTTAAATTTAGAGTTTCTTGGCTATTTATTCTAAATATAAAATATTTTAGAGACCAATAGAAAGTACATGGATCCCGTGTTAATAGTGTTGGGACGGCAGAGAGAGGTACAGCGTGGCCTGGCCTCCACGATCTGAAATCCATGGAGAACTCTGGAAGCTCTAAACAGAACGATGAAGCCCCCAAAGTGAAAAGCACGCTCAAAGGCAGGCAGATGTTGGGTGAGCAGCCAGGGGACGCTTTCTGGGAAAGTACATACACTAAAATATTTTCTTAACATTAGAAAAAGCCTCCAAAGTGTAATCATTTGAGTTGATTTGGTGGCTAGTCCATCTAAGATGGATCGCAGTGTGACCGACTTGATCACAGCACACCTGGGTGCAGACTGAACGGTGAGACAAAACTGGAAAGAGTCTGAACTCAGGAGACAAACAGAGCAACCAACCTCGTGAGAGCAAATGCGGGCAGTTCTGGTTTTTAAACTGGACTTGATAGGGTGCCTTGCAAGGAGTCTGGCTAGCACGTGTTTGTATGTAGATGATACATTTCATCCTATATACATATACAATTCTTTCAGTATCAACATTATTTACGCCATTGGCCCAGGCATTACTGAGTACTGTGCATTTCATGTCTATTCTGCTCTAGAAGTTAGTAAAACATTATGCGTTTCCTTCTGAAAGCACACAGAGCTATCTGTCCCTTCGAACCATGAGCTGCAACCAGTCATCTTGTATAAACATACTTTCCCAGCATAATCGGACTCATCAGTAATTTGCCTTTTCACCCCAGGCTCTCTGGAAATCCTGCCAGGGAGAAAAGTTCAAAAGCACTGTGGTTTTTTCCCCATCCAGTGTTTGTTGTTTGTATTTTTCTTCTTCTGTCCTCATCGAGGAAGAGCTTTGCGGTGTTCAGAACCCAGTCGGTGTAGATCCTGATTCCCACTCAGAGACGGGAGGCTGCCCCAGGGCTCCCGTGTCCCCACGGGCACCTGCTGCAGGCTCTGTCTGTTCCCTGCCGACCCAGGAGCAGGAGCTGTGCTGCCAGGGCCGCCGGGTCTCTGCTGGGGTCTGCACGTGCACAGTGCCAGGGAGCTCCCTCCTAGGGCGTGGAGCCTGCACAGCTGGTGCCCGAGCCACACAGACACAGGGGAGGAAGGATGGCAAGGGAGAGGCAAAGGGGAAGAGGAAACCTGCGGCACTTACCTGTCTGTCTTCTGCCCTCCAGCCCGACCAGAGGGGACAGCGGTGCAGGGCCAACCACCCTGTTGGATTCCCCCAGCCCTGTATGCAGCTTCGGGCCAGTGACTCGCTCTTGCCAACGGGGCTATAAATAAGGCACACCCAGAGCACAGGAGATAAGCATTCAGCCCCTGGTTCCCTCCGGCCTTGTAAGGTATCCAGAGGGGAAGGGGCTGCCAGCTCCGCTTTTGGCCTGCCTGCCTCAAGGACACCCTAGCCTCGCACATGTTCCAGCCATCCAAAGAGCTGCAAAGGGGGACAGTGAGGGACCTCACATTGGCAGAGCCTCCAGGCAGCTGCCTGCAACAAGCCCCTCAGATCAGGCAGCTGGCATTGGGGTAATGAGCAAGAGGGAACTCACCCCAGGCCACACAGCACCTCTGTGGGGTGGAAGACATTTTCAAAGCTGCCTCTTGGACAGAGCTCACTGACCCCCTCCCCCTGGCTTCAGAGGCCTTTGCTTGGGTGACAGGATTCTAGGGAAGACCAGGGACCAGTAAGGAACGCCGGGCACATGGAAAGCCAGCGGTGGGGTGCCTTTCGGGGAGTCCTTCTCTCCCACCCTCCCCACTCGTGGGTGCTTCCGAGGGTGTCCCCAGCACATACGTTTTCCCCATAGAACTAAAACAGAGAAATTGTACGAGAGCCTTTCAAAACCATGTGCTAGAAGAGGAGAGAGAAGACTAATCTGGGGAGCAACAGTTCCTGATCATTCTTAAATTTCTTATTTCTGAGAGATCACATCTGTGGCTGGAGATGGGATGGGGGAGAGCTAGGGTCAGCCCCTCCCGGACTGTGGCGACAGATGTCTGCGTTAACACAGTGGTTCCAGGCCCAGGAATTTGTCCTAAGGAAAAATTGTGGGTACGGGCAGAGATATAGCTAAAGGGACCGTTTTGCAGCTCTTTTAGTAATTGTGCAAAGTTGGAAATACTCTAAATAGCTGACAACAGGGACTGGTTAAATGAGGAGGAGCACAGCCACAGGAAACACTGCGACCTTCACAAACATCCCGGAAGAACATTTAATCACACGCACAATGTTGTAATCTATTGGTAATAAAGAAGCAGGTCTCCTTGAGGGGGACGTGGGGTATATGTTCTAGGTCACTGCACGCCGTCACCCCACACATGTGCTGTGGAGGGCGTGCGGCTCTGTGAACGTCGTGATGGCCGCTTGGTAGGATTTGGGCTGGTTTTATGTTCTTCTTTGGCTGTAAATAATTTCTAAATTATTTACAATGCTCTTGTATTTCTTTTATAATAAGGACATTAATTTCATTTACAATCTAAGTTTCTAAGAATCAGAAGAGACCTTTCTGTGTTTCTGTATTAATGAACCCAAATTTATTTTAGCATTACAGAATGTCTTGTGATCAGTAGCTATTTTTCATGCCAATACCAACAATATGATGTCGCAATGTCAATAGAGTCCCCCAGTACCCCTGTCAAGGCCAAGGAGAGAGCGCAAGGGAAAAACTTAAAAAAAACACACACCAAAAAACAGGAAGAGAAAAGGAAGGAGGGAGGAAATTAGAAACGTAATAGGGCTGATAGACGGTAGCCACAGCCCAGGTCACCTCTATGGAGCTAGCACATCCCATTCATGCTGTGCCCAGGACAAGCAAAGGCGCCGATCGAAAGGATCTGTGTTTCTGAAGGTGACTTCCCGTTGTAGTGTTTCTGACTTAAGTGATGGCCTCCAAGCCTCACTGTGACAGAGCATACTGCCCAGGTTGTGTGATTGACGGGAGCCTCCCTCCCATGGGGCCCGGGGGCTGCTGGCACAGAGGGGCCTTACACCCTATAAACACCTCCCGGGGGCGTGCAGAAACGAGAGTGGGCTGCCTCCTTTATGAATAGGACCTGGTCTAAGGCCGGGGGCAGTTTCAAAGCGTTGGGGTTGCTAATGTTACAGGAGGGGGTCTCGAACACACACTGGTGACTCGGGGGCAGACTCAGGGGGAGTTTGAAGGTGGCCCCCCTCAAGCACACCTTCAGTGCCTACCTCAGATTCCAGCTGTCTTACTCATTCCCCGCAGGAATCTGATGAGAAGGCAGGACTGCAGTCCAGGTCAGCCCCGCATGAGGGCAGATGCGTGCAGGCAAGGGCTGAACGGGGACTCTTCTTGGAGGAAGCTGCCCTGGGTGAGGAACAGGGGCGCCCACATGATGGGCGACCTCTGTGAGGGCTGGTGTAAGGGTGCGCTAGCCTGTGGGACTCATCCCAAAACTGAAGGACATAACGGTCTGGAACAAATATCTTGATTCTATTCAACAAGAAAATTTTAATTTATTGTTGAGAGTATTACAGATGTTCCCCATTTTCCCCCTTTTGCCCTCCTCCACCCACCTCCCAGTCCAGCCCAGGCCTTCACCTGTCTATTTATTCTCTGTGTCCATGGGCTATGCATAGATGCATGTAAATTCTTTCATTAATCTCTCCTGCCCTCCTTCCCAGCATCCCTCTGAGATCCGTCAGTCTGTTTCATGTCTGTGGTCTTATTTTATTCATCAATTTTGTTCCTTAGATTCCACATATAAGTAAGATCATGTGGTACTTGTCTTTCTTTGAAGGGTTTATTTCGCTTAGCATAATACTCCCAGGTTCAACCATGCTTTTGCAAAGGGTAAGAGATCTTTTCTTTTTCATAGCTATATAGTATTTCATTGTGTAAATGTACCACAGCTTTTTTATCCACTCATCTACTGATGGACACTTAGGCTGTTCCCAGATCTTAGCTATTGTAAATAGTGCTGCTATGAACATGGGGGTACATATATTCTTTCTGATTTGGTGTTTCAGGCTTCTTACGGTATATTCCTAGAAGTGGGATCACTTGGTCAAATGGCAGTTCCATTTGTAATTTTTTGAGGAAACACCATAGTGTTTTCCATAGTGGCTGCACCAGTCTGCATTCCCACCAGCAGTGTACTAGAGTCCCCTTTTCTCCACACCCTCGCCAGCACTTGTTGCTAATTGATTTATTGATGGCGGCCATTCTGACAGGTGTGAGGTGATACCTCATTGTGGTTTTTATTTTCATTTCTCTGATGGTTAGTGACATTGAACATTTTCTCATATGTCTCTTGGCCATCTGTATGTCCTCTTTGGAGAAGTGTCTATTCAGGCCCTTTGCCCATTTTTAAATTGGATTGTTTGTCTTCCTCTTGTTGAATTGTATGAGTTCTTTGTATATTTTGGAAATTAACTCTTTATCAGATGTATCATTGGCAAATACGTTCTCTCATACTTTGGGTTCCCTTTGCTTTTTTTCTTTTGGTACGTGCCCCTAGCGGGAACCGAACCTGGGACTCTCTGGTCTGCAGGCCGACACTCCAACTGCTGAGCCAAATGGGCCAGGGCTCCCTTTGCGTTTTGAGGTTGGTTTCTTTGCTGTGCAGAAGCTTTTTAGTTTGATGTAGTCCATTTGTTAATTTTTTCCTTTTGTCTCTTGCCCTAGGAGATGTATCAGTAAAAATTCTGCTACATGAGATGTCTGAGATTTTGATGCCTATGTTTTGTTCTAGGATTTTTATGGTTTCGTGACTTACATTTAAGCCTTTTATCCATTTTGAGTTTATTCTTGTGTATAGTGTAAGTTGGTGGTCTAGTTTCATTTTTTTTTTTGCATGTACCTGTCCAATTTTCCCAACACCATTTATTTATTTATTTTTTTAAACTTTTTCTTTATTGACTTCAGAGAGAGAGAGGAAGGGAGAGGGAGAGAGAGATAGAAACATCACTGAGAGAGAACATCGATTGGCCACCTCCTGCATGCCCTGCACTGGGGATCAGGCCCACAATCTGGTCATGTGCTCTAACTGGGAATCAAACTGGTGACCTCTTGGTGCATGGGTCCATGCTCAACCCCTGAGCCACACCAGCCGGGCCCCAACACCATTAACTGAAGAGATTGTCTTTACTCCACTGAATGCTCTCACCTTCTTTGTCAAATATTAATTGGCCATATGGGATGGGTCAATTGCTGGGGTCTCTGTTCTGTTTCACTGGTCTGTATGCCTGTTCTTATGCCAGTCGGACTGTTTTGATTACAGTGGCTTTGTAGTATAGTTTGATATTCAGTACTGTGATCCTCAACACATATGTTTTGAGCCTCCACTAGGAACCAGACCCTGGTCAGCACAGGGTAGGGAGATGGGGAGACTCCCAGCTGCCCCGTGAGCTCCAGGACTTCATCCTCAGCCACTGGCCTGGGCCAGCACACCCACGCTGCCAGGGCTCTCTGGGGTTCTGCTTGCAGGCATTTGGTCCCGGTGTCATGAAACCTCCTTGTTCGTCATTACTAGTTACTCATTTTTTCAACATATATTCATTAAACTTCTTTCATGTGCCAAGCATGTGGCTAGATCCTGGCTCCTGAGCCCCGAACAACCCAGAAGAAACGTCACCTCAGGACCTTGTGGTCTGTCGTGTGCCATAGTCACACGCTGGGCGAGCCTGAGCCTCTCCCCTCGAACCCGGCCACTGTAGATGCCATTTACTGCTGGGCCACCACAGCCATCTTTGAGCATGGTCCCTGTCATTGTCGCTCCTTGCTCTGGGGTGGGAGCCTTCATCCCCCTGTGAACCTGGTTCTGCATTTCCAGAACCTGCTGGAAGTGAGTTTCATAAGTGGGAGGGGCCTCCCCCAGGTGCCTGCGCAGCACTGGGCCCGAGCTGAGCCTGGCCCGGGGAGTGTGTGCTTCTGCACCTCACCAGGCCAGCAGGGCCCACCATCGCTTCCAGGACTGCCCTCTCCTCCTCGCCATCTCTGCCGTGGGCAGGCACCTGGGCTAATGCACCTGCCCCAATGGAGGGAGAGAGTCTCTTCTACCCCAGACACGTTTCCTTGTTGGATCTGTAGAGTCCATGACAGAGGAAGACGAGCTGGCCGGCACGTCGGACAAGGACAAGCAGGCAGCAGGGGTGTTGAGGCCAGAGCCCTGAGAGCGAGGAGGGACGCGGAGAGTGAGGGCGACGGGGAGTCCTCAGTGCAGACTGTGGGTGTCAGGGGTGCCCAGGGACACTGGGTTACGGAGTGTGCCGCCCACT